CTCCTCCTCCTCCTCCTCCTCCTCCTCCTCCTCCTCCTCTTGCTCCTCCTGCTGCTCCTCCTCTGCCTCCGTCCCGTCCTCGGACACCGAACGCCGGCGAAGAAAGCCCCAGCGAAGCGAAACCCCGGCGAAGCGAGCCCGGGCGAAGCAAGCCCCAGCGAAGCGAGACTCCGGCGAAGCGAGCCCTGGCGAAGCAAGACCTGGCCAAGCGAGACTCTGGCGAAGCGAGCCCTGGCGAAGCGAGACGGGCTTCGCCAGGCGAAACGAGCCCCGGCGAAGCGAGACAGGGGAAGCGAGCCGGGCAAAGCGAGCCCTGGCGAAGCGAGCCCCGGCGCAGCGAGCCCCAGCGCAGCGAACCCCAGCGAAACGAGACTCCGGCGAAGCGAGTCCGTGCTTGTCGTGCGTTCCCAAGGTGGATGTTTCAAAATCCTACGTAAAACCTATTCCTTCACCTCCTCACTTCCTCTGCTTCTTCTTTTTTGTCCTTCCTCCCTCCCTCGCCCTTCCCCTGCTCCCCCCTTCCTCCTCCAGCGCCTGCTTTGGGGTGGCCTGCCGGCGGACGAGGCGGAGATCCTCCTAGGCCACACGGCCACCGAGAGCGGGGGCGGAACATGTCGGGATCGATATGCGGCTTCGTGCGCACGAAAGTCCTCGGCCCCGCGTAGTCGGCACCGAGCGGCCTGCAGATCTCGGAGACTTTGCCCGCAGGCGCCGATGGAATCACTGGCAGCGCGCACTGCATGGAGTACGTGATGAAGGGCGGCGCGTGCGAGGCGGGCGCGGGCACCGATCACGAGGCAGATTTCTTCCTGGGCGTGTCCGCGCGAGCCATCGGCGCGTGCGCAGAGGTTTCCCGTTTCCCCGGCCAGTCCCCGAGCGGCAGGGAAGTCTCAGGGGCGCCGAGGGTGGAGAGCGACCAGGCGCGGTTGAGACGGGGGCGCAGCATAAGGTTCTTGTTGAGCGCCTGCGTGGGGACGCGCGCGCGCGCGCCGAGACGACGTTGCGCAGAGCCTTCACGGATTTGGAGTGGATGCAGGCCCAGATTGAGAGGCAGAAGGAAAGAGGGAGGCGTTGCTATGGAAGGCTGTCTAAGGGGGCGCGGTGGACCGCTATCACCGCGACGCGACGCGTTTTCGTGAACGGCTTTGCAGGCTGGCGAATTCAGGCCGAGAGCAAGGTCGGCGTGGACCAGCTGCAGACGTTGCCCACTCGCGGGGCGCTCCCCGCGACGCGCGGGCACAATGTGGGCACGGATCTAGGTCCTTCGAGCTGCGGTTTTGGGTGGCGCCGCCGCTCTGGATGGCAGTGCCGATGGGGACTCAGTACAGCCCAAGACGCTGGAATGAGGACCGCTTTGGACTCGGAGGTGGCCCGCTGTTCCTTAGGTCAATCCGTGGCTGTTCCTCTAGCCCTCCTCGTGCACACAGGCCCGTGTGGTGCCGAAAAGGGGCTTCGTTCCTTTTCTCAGCAGCCAGACTGTACGTGGCTGTGGCGGTGGCGATGATACTGCTGTCGAAGTCGCAGCTGGTGAAGACGCTCGCGAAGAAGCGTGAGGCCGCCACGCCGAGGTGGGAGCACGCAGGCGGCCGTGAGAAGGAGAGAAGCGCGGTTGTGGGCTGCCCGTTGTGTGGACATGTAAAGCCTCCATCGGCCCCGGGATATGCCGAGCGGGGTGGTCCAAGATTGAACGAAAAGTTGGGGCCACCCACCCTGGGCCAGGGGCACCTTCAGCAACCCCCGAGCTCTGAGGGCCGCGCGGAAGAGAGCAGGGGCCAGCGCCTGGCAACAAGTGAGACGCTCCAGAGAGAGGCTCGCCTTCGAGGGATCGAGGAGTTGACGCCTGCTCCTCGGCCGAGCGGCGGAAGTGGCGCGAGGCTCCTCTGCTGGAGGAAGGCTGGCGGACGAAAGGTGCATCCCTGGGCGGTGGCAGCATGTTAGGTCTCAGGGTTTTCGGGCCCACCCAAACGTGAGCAACGGAAGAAAACGAGGTCGTCTGCGCCCACATTGGCGCGCAAGCTGCCCGCGCAAAGTGGGGGGGGAGCGTCCTCGTTTCGAAATGAAGCGTGCCGCGCGGGCGGCCCGCGTGAGCCACCGCGTGAGGTCGCTATGTCGTCTTGCGGAAGACCCCGTTCTGTTCATCGCTCGCGTGAGATAGACGTTGCTTGATGGGACCCTGAGGGCCCACTCTGAGGGCACCGGAGCAGGAACTACCCCCCGCGGTGCGTCGCCAAATGCTGCGCGCGGGCCGCAATGCTCGACCTCTTCCCTGCTCGCAGGCTCGAGAGCGGGGAGCGCGAGGGCCTGGAGCTCCCCCCCAGTCGGCGACTACAAAGGGCTTGATTGCGCCAGGGTGTGGTTTGCGATTGGCACTTTTGGGGCCGTGGGAACACGGCACTGCCCTCGTCGGGCCTCTTCGGGGCACGGCGGAGAGCTCTGTCGAGGTCCTCGCGCGCCCCCCCCCAGGGTGCCCCCCAGGGTGTTAGTTGCAACCCACGCCCTTGCAAACCACACCCTTAAGAGTCGCCGACCCAGGTCGGGCCGTGGACGCCCCGCTCCCCCAAAACGCCAGCCACGGCATCCCCACATGTGATCTCAATCGATCGAGATTTCGGCCAGCGCCCCTGTGTATCCAGCTTCCTGGTACTTTCTTCCACTGGGTGCCGTGCCCCAGGGCCTTTCTGAGACCATCCATCGGCCGCGAGAAGCCTTCGATCCTCTGCCCGCCGATCCTACGACCCGACGCCACCGCTGCCCGCAGCGCGATTTTCGCGCCACCCCCGAGCCAGCCGCCCTGCAGAAGCGCGCGCCCCCCAGGCGCTCCGAGGCGCCCATGGCGCGCAGCAGCGCCCCCAGCGCAGCGGCCGCAGCGGCCGCCGCGGCCGCCGCCGCAGCCGCCGCTTCGCAGGCCTTCGCCACGCTGCCGCCGCCCGCCGCGCCGCCCGCCGCGTCTCGAGGCGGCGGCGGCGGCGCCCCGCCCGCCGGCGCGCCGCGGGGAGCCGCCGCGCCCTGCGGCCTGGTCGCGCCGGCCGCGGGCGCGGCGAGCGCGCTGTTGGCGGCCGCGGCCGCGCGCCGCGCGCAGCGGGGCCGCGGAGGGACCGCCGGGCGCGGCGGGCGCGCGCGGGCCGCGGGCCCGCCTTCGGCGGTGGACGAGGATCGGAGGCGGCGATAGGGGCGAATGACCCAGGGGCGGGCACTGCACGTATTCGCCCCGGGAGCCTCGCCGAAGGCATGGACCATGGGCCTGGGCTATTCGCCTCCATCGTCGCCCCCGAGAGGAGCTCGCGGAGATGATGCGCGCCGAGGCGGACGTCCAGGGCGACTGGCTGCGCCCCTTCCGCGACCTCTTCGGCGGCAGGGAGGGCCCCCTGGCCCGCGCGCTGAGGAGGCAGCGGGAGATCACGGAGGAGATGCAGCGGGTGAACGCGGAGCTCCAGGAGCGCATGGGCGCCGAGCTGGGCGAGGAGCGCCGGCTGAGCGCCGAGCTGCAGGTGCAGGTCGACCGCCTCCAGGCGCAGGTGGCCTCGCTGCAGGACTCCTACACCGCCCTGGGCGACCAGCTGGAGATGACTCAGGTCGAGCAGCAGCGGACCAAGGAACAGCTGTCCCGGGCACGCTCGGAGGGTGACGGCGTGGCTCGGAGCCTGGCGAAGGCGGAGCAGAGGGCGGAGGATGCGGAGCTCAAGCTGAAGCGCGTCGAGCAGAAGAATACGTTCCTGGCCGCCGACAAGAACAAGCTCAGCGCCAACTTGAGGCAGACCCAGGCCGACCTGGAGAGCGCCAAGGAGGAGCTCGAGCGCGAGTCCGCCAAGCTGAGGAAGTCGGCCTCCGTGAACCAGGCGCTCAAGTCCGAGGTCTCCGAGGCAAACGTTGCCGCCGCGGAGGCGCAGAAAGAGCTGCAGGCGCTCCAGGAGCAGTCGGAGGCCGACGCGGCGGCCGCGGCGGAGACGAAGAGCGCACTGGAGGCGCTCCAGGCGCAGTCGAAGGCAGACGCGGCGGCCGCGGCGGAGACGAAGAGCGCACTCGAGGCGCTCCAGGAGCAGTCCAAGACCGACGCGGCGGCTGCGGCGGAGACGAAGAGTGCACTGGAGGCGCTCCAGGCGCAGTCGAAGGCAGCCGCGGTGGCCGCGGCTGAGGCGAAGAGCGCACTCGAGGCGCTCCAGGAGCAGTCGAAGGCCGACGCGGCGGCCGCGGCGGAGACGAAGAGCGCATTCGAGGCGCTCCAGGTGCAGTCGAAGGCCGACGCGGCGGCCGCGGCAGAGACGAAGGGCGCACTGGAGGCGCTCCAGGAGCAGTCCAAGACCGCCGCCGTGGCCGCGGCGCAGACGAAGAAGGCACTGGAGGCGCTCCAGAAGCAGTCGAAGGCCGACGCGGCGGCGGCGGCGGAGACGAAGAGTGCACTGGAGGCGCTCCAGGAGCAGTCGAAGGCCGACGCGGCGGCGGCGGCAGAGGCGAAGAGCGCACTCGAGGCCGAGGTGGAGCAGGCGCGCCAGGGGCAGGCTCGGCTGGAGGGGCAGCTGGAGGAGTCGGAGGGTCAGAAGAACCGCTTGCAAGAGGCGCTGAGCCAGGCAGCGAGGAGCCAACAGGAGATGCAGGCATCCCTCGAGGGCCAGATCGCTGCTTCCGAGGAGGAACGGGCCAAGGCGGTGAAGGAAGCCCAGCTCACCGAGGCGGAGCTGAAGTCGGCGCGCGGCACGGAGGCGGCCCTCTTGGACCGCCTGTCGAGGTCGGAAGAGGAGGCATGCAAATTGGCGGAGGAGAAGCAGCAGCTCGAGGAGGAGGGCACCGCGGCCGCGGCTCGCGAAGAAGAGCTGAGGCGCGAGATCGCGCAGGCGAAGGGCAAGGGGCAGAAGGCCGCGCAGGAGCTCACGCAGGCCCGCAAGGAGAACGACAGCCTCCTTGAGCAAATGCGGGCCATGGAGCGCAAGGTCGAGGCCGCGGTGGCCGAGTCCAAGAGCCTCGAGGAGAGGTTGCGCGGCCCCGAGGGGCTGCGCCCCTTCCTCCTGCTCGACCAGCAGGGCGGCGCCAGAGGCGCCAGGTCCGAGGCCGAGGCGAGCTCCAGGGCCAAGGACAGTGACCCAGTGCCAGCCTGAGCCAGGCAGGCCAGCCGGGCTTCTCCTCCTGTTCCCCCTCCGTCCCCCCGACGTGCAGCCCCACCGTCCACCTCCTCGTCTGGCTGCAGCCCCGATTCAGGGGCAGCGCTAGGGGGGGGGGATAGGCTCAGGGGAAGACGCATCGACTCCCGATCGCCCAGTCATCGCCGACAGGGGCCCGATGGCCCGACCCGCCCACAAGCGTGCGGTTTCGTTATCAGGGGCACGTCGCCATCTGTCGGCGATGTATCGCCGATTCCGGGTGGATGTTCCACCCCTGAGCGAACCCCCGCCTTCACGTTGCTTTTCACCCAGGTTGCGCCATGCTGGTGCGCTTTTCGGTCTCTGTGGTGGGGGTGTGGAGGGTCATACGTCACCTCTTCGGGTACACCTGCGAGGTGCCTGCACCCCCATCGAGTATGGACCTCGTCGGGCAATTTTCGGAGCTGCCGGGCTCCACCTTTGGTTTTCTGTTGGGCGTGGGATCCAGCGTAAAATGTAAAGTTTTCAGGTCCCATGCGATTCACCTGTGCTGCCCAGACGTGCGGCGCTCGATACAAACATGCACATCATGGCAGCATTGACTCTGGGAGCGTATGGAAGCAAGCGACGACGGGCTGGAGTAGGGGGAGGAGAGAAATAATGCGGAAGACGAGCTTTGCCCCGCCTTGGGAGGCAAACACGCAGGCAGGCAGGCAGCCAGGTAGGCAAGCAAGCTCGGTGAACAATGCGAATAGCCACGGAGCCAGGCGAGTATTATCGAAGACGCCTACGGCGAATCACCGCCGCCCCCTGCCTTTGTGGAAGCGCCTATGTGGCCGAACGTTGAGGCCAGACCTGCCAAGCTATCGGACCACGTGTTCCCCGAATCGGTTTGGAAAGCCTTCGGGGAACACGTGGGCATCTTGAAGGTCATCTTGGCCGTCTGGAGGCCATTTTGACCCTTTCTGGCCTTCTTGGAGGACGTCTTGGAGGGTTCGGGGGCCTCTTGGGGCCGTGTCTTGGGCCTCTTGGGCGATCTTTGGGGGGCACTTGGGCCGTCTCGGGCAGTCGGAAGGCAGAAAAAAAGCAAATGCCACAATCCTTCAAAAAAAAACAAATCAATAATTTTGGCCTTTTCGGGCCTTCCTGGAGGCCCTCTTGGAGGCCTCTTGGGCCGCCTTGGGCCATCTTAGGGCCATGTTCGGCCGTCTTGGTGGGCTCCTGGTCCGTCTGACGCCGTCGGAAGCCGTTTGGGGGGCCTCTATGGGCCGGCCGACTTGGGGCCCTCCTGGAATGCTCCAGGGCCGTCTTGGAGGCCATCTTGGGCGTCTTAAAGGCCTCCTGCGCCGTCTGGGGGGCCTCTTGGGGCCGTCTTGGGGCCCTCTTGGGCCGTTCTGGGGCCATCTTGGAGGCCTCTTGGGCGATCTTTCGGCGATCTGGGCCGCCTCGGGCCGTCGGAAGGTCGAAAAGAAGGAAATGCCAAATTCCGTCAAAAACCTTAAGAGCATCAAGGTGTTTGGCCTCTTCTGGCCTTCCTGGAGGCCCTCTTGGGGGCCTCTTGGGCCGTCTTGGGCCAGCTTCGAGCCAACTTCGGCCATCTTGGTGGGTTCCTGGCACGTCTGACGCCGTCGGGAGCCGTCTTGGGGGCCTTTCTAGGCCGACTGGGGGCCCTCTTGGGTCACTTCGGGGCCGTCTTGGAGGCCATCTTGGGCGTCTTGGAGGCCATCTTGGGCGTGTTGAAGGCCTCTTGGGCCATCTTGGGGCCCTCTTGGAGCCGTCTTGGAGGCCACCTGGGCCGTCATGGGGCCCTCTTGGGGGCCTCTCGGGCGATCTTGGGGGCCTCTGGGGCCGTCTTGAGCCGTCGGAATGCCGAGAAGAGGCAAATTCCAAAATCGTTCAAAACCCTACGAAAAATCCATGATTTCGGCCTCTTCGGGCCTTCCTGGAGGACCTCTTGGAGGCCTCTTGGGACGTCTGGGAGGCCTCTGGGGGGCCTCTTGGGCCGTCTTGGACTCTCTTGGGCCGTCTTGGAGGCCGTCTTGGACCATCTTGGGCGGACTTAGAGGCCATTTGGGGCCATCTTCGCGATTTGTTGAGGATGTCCCGAGCGAAACGGCCGTTTCAGGCATTGACTGATGCAGTTTCCGGGTGGCCGGCGGGACGTGCCGGAGCCCCAGGGGGAGTTCTTTTGGAAAAAGAACCAAAACCAAAAGCCATATCGTTCGGCACGCCAGGCACCCCTTTCCTAAAGCAAAAGGGGGCGGTGGATCCAGCTGCCTGCGGCAAGTCCGGCCACCGTGCCAGCCCAGCATTCTGGGTGGCGACTGTTCGAAGGGATATGGGAGGCCGTCACTTGTGACACCTCGTGACTCCAGGATCGAAAGTTTGGGAGAGACGTCATGACGATGACGATGGTGATGATGATGATGATGATGATGATGATGATGATGATGATGATGATGATGATGGTGATGATGATGGTGATGGTGATGGTGATGATGGTGATGGTGATGGTGATGGTGATGGTGATGGTGATGGTGATGGTGATGGTGATGATGATGATGATGATGATGATGATGATGATGATGATGATGATGGTGATGGTGATGATGGTGGTGATGGTGATGGTGATGGATGGTAATGGCGATGATAATGGTGACGCTGATTATGATGATGGTGGTGGTGATGATGGTGATGACGACAAGGATGCTGATGATGGTGACGATGACGATGATGGTGATGATTATGATGATGATGCTGATGATGATGATTATGTTGGTGATGATGATGACGATGATGGTATTGATGATAATAATAATGGTGATGATGATGGTGGTGGTGATGATGATGCCGATGTTGATGCGGATGGTGATGTTGATGCTGAGGTTGACTGTACTGCTGCTGCTGATGATGATGATCATGGTGATGTTGCTGACGATGATGCTAGTGGTTGTGATAATGCTGATGATGATGATGGTGGTTATGCTGATGCTGATGATGACGATGGTGCTTATGATGATGATGATGATAATGATGATGTTGAGGCTGATGATGATAATGACGATGATGATGTTGATGATGATGACGATGGTGGTGACGATGATGGTGGTAATGCTGATGATGGTGGCGATGCTAATGGTGGTGATGTGGATGATGATTAGATTGATGATGAGGAGGAGGAGGATGACGACGTTGATGATGGTGTTGATGATGGTGACGATGGTGGTGACGATGATGATGATGGTGATGATACTAGTGGTGCTGGTGATGGTAACGGTGATGATGATGATGATGATGACGATGATGATGATCATGATCATGATGATGGTTGTGACAATGATGGTGACGGTGATGGTGATGGTGATGGTGATGATGGTGGTTTTGGTGGTGGTGGGTGTGGTGGTGGTGATGGTGGTGATGATGGTGTTGGTGATGATGATGGTGATAATGGTGATGGTGATGGCGATGCTCCCCCGCCCCATCCCCCGCAGCGCGCGGTGCCTGCCGAGACCACCCCCGCTCGCGCTCATCATCGCGGCCGCGGGCATTCTGGATGCTCGAGCGACACGCTCCCTCCCCCCGTCCTCCATCCCCCCTCCGTCCATCCATCCCCTGAATGGGGCTGAGGAGAGGAAGGAGGAGAGGGGGGAGGGAGGAGGATGGAGAGAAGGAAGAGGATGAGGAGGAGGAAGAGGAGGAGAAGAAGGGACGGCACTTCCTTCGCCCTCCCTCTTCCATCCGCCCGCCGCCCTGGACATCCCACCGCCCCCTGCACTCCCTTCCCTCACTTGCCCCCTCTCTGGCCCATCATGCTCGTCCCATGCCTTCCTTCCCTGGTACTTGCCTTCTTCGGCAACTGCGTACGGTTCCAGGTTTTCGCCTGGTGGTCGCCCGTGGGCCCGGCGTGAGCGCACCGCGCGTTGGCTGACATTTGGGAGCAGGTGCCCCCTGTCGCCTGCAAGGTAGGTGGCGATCTGGGCTGCCGTAGAGCTCGCCCTACGTCACTCCCAAGGTGGCGCCTACTGGAGGTACTGACCTCCGAAAGCGCGCGTTCTGTGGTCGCTTGGAGGGGGGGGTGTTTGGAACCGGATCCCCCCCCTCATCCCCTACTTCTCCTCTCTCCCTCTCATCGGGCCGGCGCTTGCGTCGGCGGCGGCCGGCGGCGGCGGCGGGGACCACGACTTCCTTTTCTGGGCCAGCGCCGGCGCCTGCGGCGGCGGGCGGCGGCGGCGGGGAGCGTCGACGAGGACGACGGCGACGACGATGACGACGACGACGCTCCGCCACCGTGCCTTGATATTGGGTCAGAGTCCTAATGGATGCCTAATGGTCTCTCGTCGGAGGGCTCTCGGGGGCCTCTGAAGGGCATTTGCGAAGCCTCCTGGGCGCCTCTTGGGCGTGGGCGTCTCTTGGGGCCGCTCTGAGGTGGTGGTGGTGGTGGGCTGTGGTGGTGGTGGCGCGTTGGCTTCTGGTGGTGGTGGTGGTGGTGTGGTGGTTGGTGGTGGTGGTGGTTGTTGTGGTGGTTGTGGTGGCAGATTGTGGTGATGGTGGTGGTGGCGGTTGTGGTGGTGTTGCGTTGGTTTCTGGCGGTGGTGGTGGTAGTGGTGGTGGTGGTGGGTTAAGGTGGTGGTGGTGGTGGGTGGCGGTGGTGGTGTGGTGGTTTGTCGTGGTGGTAATGGTGGTGGTAGTGGTGGTTGTGGTGGTGGTGTCTGTGGTGATGGTGGCGGTGGTGGTGGTGGTTTGTTGTGGTGGTGGTGGTTGTGATAGTGGGTGGTGGTTGTGGTGGATGGTGGTGGTGGTTGTGGTGGTCGTGGTGGTGGTGGTGGTCGTGGTGGTCGTGGTGGTCGTGGTGGTCGTGGTGGTCGTGGTGGTCGTGGTGGTGGTGGTGGTGGTGGTAGTGGTGGTGGTGGTGGTAGGTTGTGGTGGTGGTGGTGGTGGTCGTGGTGGTCGTGGTGGTCGTGGTGGTGTAGTGGTGTGGTGATTTGTGGTGGTGGTAATGGCGGTGGTGGTGGTGGGTTGTGGTGGTGGTGGTGGCGGTGGTGGTGGTTGTGGTGGTGGCGATGGTGTGGTGGTTTGTGGTGATGGTGGTTGTGGTGGTGGGTGGTGGTGGTGGTGGTGGTGGGTGGTGGTTGTGGGGGTGTGGTGGTGGCGTGGTCGTTCCCCAATCAGAGCTTGCCTCTGTAGGGGTCCTAGCGGATTCTTATGCTTAGGTGAGGTTCGGCGCCAATTTTGGCGGCACTCCCGGGTGCCCAGGCGCCCGATATCCCGCCCGAAAAGCCCTAATAGCCCCATAGCCTTATAGCCCTAATAGCCGTATTGCCCTGTAGACCTACAGCCTTACAGCCTTATAGCCCCATAGCCTTATAGCCCTATAGCCCTAGCCCCATAGCCTATAGCCTTAAAAAGATTATGACTGGGGCTTTCTCCGGTATCATGGTGTTGTCGTGGTTTGTGGTTGTGGTGGTGGGTTGTGGTAGTGGTGGTGGTGGCGGTGGTGGTGGTGGGGGTTGTGCTGCTGGCTATGGTGGGGGTGGTGTGGCGGTGGTGGTGTTGTGGTAGATGTGTGGTGATGGTGGTGTTGGTG